TACTGCGTTGTTCAGACAGCCCAACGCAACCAGCCAAGTGTCAAACTTTTCTTCATTACATGTAGCACATAGGAAATTACCTGGAGTTCACAAAAAAATACCCAAGAATAGTAAAACAAACAGACTGTTTAGACAAAAACATGTGGCCTGAAGCAAAACTTTCAAGCTTACAAGGCACCTGAATACCACTTTATCAGTTTCTTATCAAAAAGAAAAATGTTACTGAAATATAAGAAAATACAACTGGTTTTCTTCTTATTTTACATTATAATTGTTACATTAAACTAGTTTCCTGATAGCTTACATACACTTATTATTTCTAAATTGTGCATGCATATTGGTATGTAAGTCCTACAAAAGAGAGGACTTTAATTTATTGTGCTTTATGTGATCAACATTTAAATGAAGGGGAGGGTTGTTCCTGAGCTTACCCAGCCAGTGCCACTTCCTTGGGTTTTAGTGAACAGCAGTGAGGAACCTTGTAATACTGCCCATGACGACATCCAATTCTTTCTGTAAATATTTGTAAACAAACATAAGATAAATTGACCCTGCAAGTAGATATTTAAACTGTTCATCATTGTTGCCCAGCTGACCTGTATGTTAATATATTTAACCATATACACAGTCATTAGTGCCATCAGTAAGTCTTAATTGCTGTTGTATTTGTAGAAAGGAACATATGTTAACAGTTCCAGCCTGACCATCAAAGTCTAAATCAAACAAAGCTAATTAGTAGTGGAAGCAGTTCACCAGGAGAAGCACCATAACATTGTCATTTCAAAGGGGCTAATATGGAACACTCAGCCCGCTACACACTTAGTAGATTATGCCAAAGTACTGCATAATTTTGAAATTTATTGATCACGTCTAACTGGAATGCAAGCGTCCCAAGTTTACGTACTAAGCTCATTTGCATTGGCAATGAAATGTTTGCTACACATTTGAAAAATGCAGAAAAAGAATAAATGAGTTGTTCCAGCTGTCTGATTATTTGCTTTTATGCCTGAGTACCTGTCCCTCCTGTGGTTAAAAAAAAGGTCTTGACAAGTCCTGGCAGTCTATTCCCATTGCCCAAAAGTGAATTATTATTCAACAGCTCTCAAAGCAACTTGACAGCCATGTTGCATCTTTCTGTACAGCAGTGCAGTAATCCAGACGAATGACTCCAAAAGATGCAGCCTAACTAAGTACTGTACCAAGAGCAGCTTACATGAGCCACTGTCCACCCTTTCCTACCAAACCCTTAGGAGCAGTTCTGAGGAACCGAACTGGGGGTCAGACCTGCTGCCCAGCTGCACTGGAGTAGGTCAGGGTGGCTCTGGAACACCAGCTGGGTGCTGACTCTTTAATCCTTCAGGAAAAGCATGCTTTGTGTCTTAAGTCTGGGAAACACTGAACTAGATAAAACACAGTATTAGAGCTAAAAGATTAAATAAAAGAAATCAGAAGTAAAAAAAGTAGAAAGTAAGCCTAAATTAAATCTGAGGATGTGCTGTATTTATACAGTATTTAACACTGACTCTTTGCAAAACACCAGAATGTGAGTTAGAGAGCGTCACTTGATTATCCATTATGATTATAATGTAAATGCCTGCCTGCAAGGCAGAGAAAGGAAGTTAGAAATGAGGTCATTCATCACCTACAGGGAGATGAGTGTTGGGTGATACATTCTGCTTCAAATCCTTCAGAAGCAGAGTGAAGGAAGGATTAGGGAGCAGGTGACACACATGCTCCTTGGAAACTAGAGGAGACAAAATGAAAGCCTGAAAGCTCCTCTTACACAAATTCTATCCAAGGAATAAGACAGGTTATAATCTACATAGATTTTGTCTTAAATAAACAAGTCCATCTGAGTTTAAAAAGCTGTCTCTCATCAGTACACCTTCACAAAACCACTGCCCTGTGTGGAACCATGGCGTATATGAGCCTCTGGCTCTCTGAAATCCGTGCTCTTTAGCTCACTGAGAAAAATACATGGGGATATGGAAATGCTGTGTCCCACATGAAAACTTCTAGGGCAAATTCAGACAAAAAGTAAGAAATTGCAGAACCCAATATGCTGTCCTGACATACAAGTCAGGTACTTTGCACATGTACTTCCAGAAGTCCAAGACTTACCGAACTTTCTTCCCATTTTCTGTAATTTTGGTCACATTCAATAATCCATACTTCTCTTGACCCTGTAAGATTGAGTAAAATATAGCAAACATAAAAGAAAATCTGCCTCTCTTGCCATCATGGCATTTAATTCTATTCCCCCAAATTTCTGGCAATGAGCCATCTTTGCCCATGTTGCAACTTCAAGAAACCGTCCTAAGTATATTTAAATATGCAAAAATCAGCAAAATCAAAATTCCTCTGGGAAAGTACTCACTCATACCATTCAGAGGGTAAAAAGCTTTCCTTATTTAAGGCCTAGGTTCCTTGGGCAAGCTAAACTCAACCATTGGTGGTACTAGACAGCAGAGAATTTAAACACAAGTTTATGTAACAGCACATTTGTATTTGTGTCCTTTACTAAAAAAAAAAAAAAAAAAAAACAGTTGTCTGACAAAGCCTAAATTCTCTGACAAATTTCTTCTAGGTTATTTTAACATAACTGCATATTTTAAATAAAACATGGTTGAAATTAATAAAAATATTAACATGCTCATTTGAAAAAGAGATGAGTGAAACATTTCTTTGATGCCTTTTTTCCTATCCCCAAGGAAAATATTAGAATTTTAAACTACTTCATTATGCCTTGTTGATGAAAATAATTTCTATTGGTATGCCTCTCTATGTATTTGAAGACCAGTCACTGAACAAGAAAGGTATTTGCAAGTTTCAAGTATCTGGAGCGAACATTTGTGATTTCTGTGCAAAAATCTAAAGGAATGTTTGGAAAATTACTCTAGGCTATGAAGGGAAGCCACTGATTTATACTACCTGTGACTCAAGATGAGGTAACAAACTATCATTTTTTCCTGTCATTCCAGTCTTTTCCTACCAGTGAATGGTGCTAAAGGAACGTTAAATTACTTTCTAAATCAATTCCCTTTCAGTAACAGCTTGTAACAGTTCCAAATTTAAGAACTATGCTATTAATTGAAACAATCAACTAGAGAAAGGATCCAAATTTGGTTTATTGTAACAAAAATGTCCTCATTTCTAGATCCAATGAAAATAGAAGGTATATTCTCTTCAGCATTTTTCTCCAAATCTCAAATTTAAGCTTAAATCTCAAATTTAAGCAATTCTACTATTCCATTTGACTCGAATGCTTTCCCAAGCCAGTGATAAAATATATTTTCCAAAACTAGTATTTTAAAAGAAGAAATGAGCCACTTCCCTCCTCCCCCCCCTTCATCCTTCCGCCCACAAAAAATTAGCCCATTCTTTAGATCACTTTCATATCCATGCAGACCATCATCAACAGGCCTGTGCGTTGCACCATGCTAACAAATCTTTGGGTTTAGTAATTGGAACAGCCTCTCACCATCTTTAACAGTGACTGAGCAACCCATTCCCATTTTCTCAAATAAATTACGGTTTTACTAAGTTACTAATGGTGGAACTGGTGGGAATGGTCCAAAGAAGAATCATTCAGAAAAAGTACTATACTGCCCTACTTAGCAGGAACACTAGGGGGTACTAATGGGAAAATTAATGTAATCAGGGAAAAAGAAGTGGAAAGCAAGTTAAGGATCAAATTAGACAAAAATTTATCAGCTTTCTTTGAAACATTTAAATCCCAGGGGACAGCTAAAGAAAATACAAATTATTGTTTTCTAGTATCTCAAGCAGCAGTGAGTTTTGTACAAAATATAATTTTCATAATTCAAGGCCTGAGCCATATTTAAAGAAATTAGAATACACACAGCAATTATTGCTTGTGTGTAAGAATATCAACTGTGCTTGCTTAATTAAAAAAAAAAAGTTTATTTTATTGTGGAAACTAAAAAGTTCTAAGAATGGATTAGCATGAATAAGGCACAGAACCACTCCCTGCATACAGAATAAGAATTAAATAGGAGAAGTAGGGCCTTTAATGCCCTGAGCTTCCTACTAAAGGGCTGCTGGAATTCATCAAAGCATATTATATCAATGTTACTGTAGTACACATCCAAAATTTTTTGAAAATACAAAAACTTAATTTTTTAAAATTATTTCCCACTGTTTTAAAAAGCAACAATCACATTTAAAATATAAACTGACACAAAGAATCTGTTAAACATTCATAACAAGTTTAACAAGATCCATTTTTCCTCCCAGTAGTTATTCTACTAAATAAAAAAAAGAACCCAGTTTATTTATGCCAGGTCCTCTATATCTGTTCAAGGAGACTGAAACACAAGCAAAAAATTAAGATATCAAATAGGACAAACTATTACTGACAATGAGAGATTCTGTGGAGAGGGGGAGTTTGTTTTGGCTTTTATCTTCCAAGTTGCTAGACAAGAAGACATGACTGTTGAAGGAAGTAAACTGAATTCTACAAATCTGACAACTTTACTCCACAGTGAAATTTTAACTTAATCTCCTACCACCAAGCTGCATTTGAAAGAAATACATTTACATTGTTTTCTGAAAGCACATTTGGATGCAATGCATTCCTTTTAAAATGTAAAGCCTTCAAATAGTTCTATCCCGTTGTTTTTCTCAGTAACAAGAAGGCTTACCCTCAATTTTCTAATCATGAATAGCCCAGTTTCTACAACATTTACTTATGTATTTAAACACTTTGCATACTGACTGTGGCTTGATGCTTTGGTGAAGAAGGAGAGGATTCATTTTCAGGAAAACTGGCCTTCGAAGCAGTTGATTCCTATAAAATTCAAATAAGCAACAGAAGTTATTATCTTTCTTAACTTCTAAAAATTTCTTTTAACACTAAGGATCCTCTTTCTCTCTTCATACACACCATTACAAAAGTACTTTTTAAAGCATTCATTATATTATCAGATAGTTGTATTACAAACGTGCTTACTAAAGTGTTCTTACAAGATTTACAGACGATGCTGAAAACTGGGTTAATTAGCACATATTTATTTGAAAAACATGTTAATGCATGCTGTTTAAGCTTAAAGCAAAAGCTTTCATCCTTATTAAGGGGCAGATTTTTTCTATGCCTTCCTATCAAATTATGAAGCACATTTATAATACCAACTTACTACAGAGCACCATATAATAAACATCAAGATTTTAAAAAACAGATGTCTCTGTGTGGTTGATAAATATAGGATTAGTACAAAAAATCATTATACATGTAGAAAAACATAAGCCTACACTCTATTAACTTTGTGAGTCATGGTCATTAATTTCCTTATAATCAAGCACCAAAAATTTCTAGAGATTGAGGGTTTGGTTCTAAATGAGGCATTTACTACCAACCAAAAGGAAGTACTAAATCTCTGAAAACCAGAAAAAAAATAGCCCATCTGGGATTAAAAAGGCATGAGCATTTCCTCTGCAGTCACGATTGCTTAGCACAAACACACCTGTCCCGGTTTCGAACAAAGGACACTAACAATTTTAAGAACAGCCTAAGTGCTCTGTATTTTCAGATGTCTGTAGGAGGGGAAAACAAAGGGTCAAATTAAGGAAATCATCATTGTCTCTTCCAGGAAGCTATTTTTTCCTCTGCTTACCAAATTTTTTAGCTGATGACCACATACAGATATGTGCCACAGCAAATAAACAGTTAACAAGTACATTTGGTATCATCAAATTCTCATCAGCCATGGCAAACCACACTTTCATTCTGACACATTTCAAACGCTCTTTTGACTGGCCTATTTTTATTACTTGAGTTGTGTTGTTTTTCTGGGAAAAACAAATAAAGAAAATAAAAATAAAATAGCTTCTCTAGAAGTCAACTAAAAAGCTAACTTGCAGTTGATCTGTCTATCCAGACAAACAAATTGTTTTTATTTCTATTTCATTCTGAATCTGAGATAGCTTTCATACACTAAGCAACTCCAGCACAAGAAATCCAGTATTTGTGGTGAACTATTTCCTTTCCATATAATAATTTAAAGCATTTAACAGTGTGGCTGTCAGTAGTAATAAAATACTTACATGAATATACTAAACAAATTTTGTCTTTCCACAACACACTAGTTTATTGCTCCACTACACATTTTTCATTTTCTCAAAGCACTAACACTGTTCTTTATATCAACTATAGAGTGTCCTTACCACTTTTGAAGCTGTTAAAGGAGCTTTAAGCTACTGACTTGGACTTCACAAATGTGGCTCATATATACAGTTTCTTGTGGTTATTACACTAGACACTGTACAATTTCATGTTTCCTTTCCCTAGGTTTAAGGTCTTGATATTTCAACATTGGGTCTTGAAGAAAAGTAAGCAGTTCCATTTATTCAATGTCTTATAAGAAGTGCTTCATACAGTGCAGCACTACATAAAGGTCATTCCAAACAGAAGCAAATATTACGTGAAAAAAATAAAAAGATCGGTCTTCCTCTAAAAGTGAGGCCAAAACTTACACTACCTCCAACAGAACTGTTCATACTTGTGAAGTGTAAACTGCACAAGAGGCTAGAACCATCCAGTCAGTTTGGATTTATCAGGACTCTATCCAGGCTGTCTCTCATGCAGTGCCACAACACTCCGTACAGCAGAATGCATAAAGGAGGGGAAAGGAGCAGTACAGGGCCCTCAGAACTGCTCAGGCTAAACTAAAACATATAGGTGCAAAGTCCCCAGCCAAGCACGGTCCACTGCCTCCTCAGCACCATGCATGATATATTCCAAACTGACAGCTCAAAAGCTTAAGATCAAATCCAATAAATCCTATTCCGAGGAACGCAGTCAACTCATGACAACCCACTCTCCTACACTTCATTTCGACAAGGAAAGCCATTAAAACGTACCATAAACAACAGGTCAAAAAAGTAACATTCTGGGCAGTAGATCCATTTTCATTACAGCTACTGTGTTTTGTCCATTTAAGTTTGTCTTGGACATCTGCAATTACACAGGTCCACTTAGTGGCTTTTCTCCATACTCCCAAGTCTACGTGCATTTCATTTTCCCCTGTATCTTTAGAAAAAGAGGGCTGATAATACTGTTTCCTGGTACCACATTCTCAGTGCTCATACTCCGTGCTCAGGTTTCAGTATTTTAAAAGTATTTCAGTTCTCATGAATCTTGGGATGGACTGCTGCAAAGTTACAGAAACCAGCACATCTCAAGCCTACAACACCCGTTTCAGTTGCTCCCTGCTCAGCTCCTATCTCCTCCCCACACCCACAAGGCAGAACACTCCGGTACAAGCAGAAACGGCTGGGACAGAGCTGGAGAGACACAGGCAGAGGGAAAGGAAGGGAGAGGCTCTGCCTCTCTGTTGGCCAAAGCAGCTTCTGTTACCCTACAGCCCAAAACAGACTATCAAGAACACTCCGTAAGAACAGGCAGGGAACAGCCTTTGTTCTTACTGACCCATTGCTCTTTTCAGACTAAACACCATCCAGCTCAGCTCTGGACAGGATCAACGCCGAGCATCTCAGCACTGTCTGTACTGTCCCTCGATAACCATAGTACTGCCCTGCTGTAACCACACAGCTTTGCCTCTTTCCTTAAGATGCTGCAGTGGAGATCAATGGAACAATCCTTAAAAGGATAAATCCACTATATAATACTACTGTTTATATCTTTAAGGCATAGTTCTTACTTTAGCAAGTGCAACTTTTATTTCAATTCTACGAATGTTTCAATTATTTATCTGCAGTCTTTCAAGCCTGTTCCTACTAGGTGTTTACTATATTTAAAACATTCAGGCATGAAGTATCACTATACCTTACATTAGAACCTCACTCACAATCATAATTCTTGAATTCAAACCCTAATTACACTCCACAGACTAAACTGAACTAAGAGTCTCAATTTTAAGTTAAAAGGATGCACACAAGCTCTGAACTAACACTAGTTAAGTACTTCAAGGATAACAAGAAAAGAGCTACTACACAGAAAGTAACAGTACTAGAGTGATTGAACAGCCCGTTTTCACCGAATATTACACACAATGACAGAATATAAGAAAAATGAGATTTCAGAAATTCAGGCATACCCATTCCTGTGAAATACCCGACACATCAGAAACGGTTAGTATTCCAGCACGCTGTTTCACTTGCTCCTACCTTATCGTTGGTGTCCAACACAATCGTGCTGTGTCTCCATTTTGTTAAAACTATTGGTTCTTGTAGCCTCCTGTCCAGACTCCTACTCTTTATTATATCTCTCTGCTGCTGTGGTGAAGCATTATACTATAGAAGAAAAAAATCGAGCTATAAGTAGAATCTGATTTATGCAAACAAGATTTGGACATACCACTCATACATCCTAACAGTTCAAGCTTTCAAATTCCTGACATCACCCAAAGGTGTGAAAATAGCCTTAGTTTTATTTTGCATTTCATCTTCAGAACTGTCCTTTCTGCTGCAGTCATCTCCAAGGCAGCAACAAAGACCAGCCTGTTGGGATAATACTCTCCATTGGCAGACAGATGTTTGATTTCTTGCGCAAAAGCTTACTGCTGCTGGTTTTGCAACCAACCAGGATATGAGAACCACTAAGGAATTAGAATAAACACAAGACTTAAACATTCAGTCTTCATATTGCACTGACAGTGTTATACCCCTCATCCAGCTCTCGTGCAAGAAAAGAAAAACTCTATTATCCTGCAGTAAGGTATTTAGACTTATAGTTATGATTGCTTGGGTACGATTCTCTTCGACCCAAAGACTTGGGATGCTTAAGAGAGGACACATAATGGTGAGGACTTGCTTCTTCAGAATAATCACATCAAATTATTTATAAAAGGATTTGCAGGTGTGGAATGTATGTAAGCACAGGAAATAAATACATAGCAGGAAATAATTTTAAGACTCAGCACAGCTCTGATAGCCAAGGAGAGAACTGATTTATCATTACAGAATTTCTCATAACTCAAAAGCATCCAAAGATAGACAGGCTGAGAAAGTATGAAGGTCATGAGAAGGACCCAGAATTTAATTAGATCTCAGCATTGCAGCATACTTATTGTTAGTAGCATTGTCTCTTTAAAGCATCAGCACCAACACTGAGGTAGCATTATAAAGAATTATTTTTAAAAAAATATTTCAAAGTTTAATACTGAAAATACAAATAAGAAAAGACAGCATCAGTGTATAGTTTAAGTCATTAAATATCTCACTCTTTCTATTCAGCATCAGAAGACTAAAATTTGCTCATAGAAAGAAAGAAGGCAGCATTTCCAGAGTCAAATAAAGGACTAGAATCCACTGGGTAAGAAGTAACAAAGGAAAGTCAAGTGCCCTTTTTATTTTAAAAGGCTAAAACAATAATCTTTCCAAGCAAACCAAATTCTACAGTTTTGCTACTGTTTCCTACCCGAAGTTGAGAGCCTCAGGTCTTTAAAGATAGAATAACCTATACATACATATGACAATGAAACATACCAAGGTTTAATCTAAGCAATATAAATGGTAAATTTAAGCTAAATTGCATAAAACACTTACATTTATTGCCCAAATAAAGAACCAGCATTATTACTGCCACAGCAGACACTATGCTTGTGTTCACTTTGTATTTTACTGTGAACAGACTTAGTGCTCCAATAAGTCAACAGATGTTAAAAGGTAAATAAAGCATTTCATTATTTATTTCAATATGTGGAAGAGTACTGAAATACTCCCAGGTGAATGAATCCTGCAGTACCGAAAACAGAATCAGAAAACAGAAAAAGTTGCATGGACTGTGTTGAGTTCAGCACATTTATACTCACATGACAACTTCTTCCTGACAATGCCAAGATTTAGGTAACTCCCCGTTTGTCCCCTTGTTAAATCAAAAGTTGAACCATCATTCATGCTGCAAGGAATCTAAGACTAGCTTACTTTTTTGTCAAGGAAATAGCCATTCTGCAAGTGCCCATACAGCTCAGACTGTGGCAGCAAGCTATGCAATGTGCAGCAAAATTCCCACCCCACTACAACTAAAAACTAAATTTTCAGAGAAAACTATGTCTAAATTCCAGAAGTCTGTCACCAACAACATTCCTTGTAGCAGTTCTAACGCATTTAAGTTGGCAATTCAAGCATACTTCTTGGTATGAAACAGAACAATTTATTTCAGATATAAATTTCCACTTCAGTGACAGTCGTGAATATTATTTATGCAAATCCTCCATGCACTTTCAGTTTCAGTAACTTCTTGAATTTAAGTTTAAATAGTCAAAGGCTTAATTTAAAGTCATTAATCGTAAATTTAAGTCTACGTTAAGAGTTAGGATATGGGCACAAGCCTAATTACAGGTGATCTATATCTAAAAGGTGCCTGTGATACCATCATAAGCCATCAGGAGGTATCTAACAAGACAACCTGGCTTGAAGGAGAAAGGATCTGTAGACTAATATGAAATTCTGGTTTAACAAAAGATATTTAACAAGAAAGCAAAGCAATAGGATATGGAGCTCATTAAAAAAAAAAAATCACTGCTAGCAACTCAAACTCTGGGCTATATGCATTTTAGCAGCTTAAATCATTTGCACTGGTGATACTGTGTCAGTAAACTGAAAAGTCTTTAAAAAGGAACATCTGACAGCTCTGCACCATTTTCTCACAGTACAGGCATTAAGTAAGATTTTTGTACCCTTTATGAGGATTTTTTGTTTTATTCATTACAAATAGTAGAACACACTCCTAAGGGGAAGTTGGCGGGGGTAAAGGTTTACTTATATCTAGGCTCAAGACAAGCCTCTGCTTTTGGATTGATCTGGGATCTCCAAAGAGGATCACAGTGAGATACAGATACTGTTTCAGATTCTGTTACCCAACTGAACTAGCCATCTTCTAGAACAGGTAGAGTCCACTGGCTAGAGAAGAGTAGCCACAGTTAATGGCCTAGCCAGGTCAGATGGCATCACCCCTGCTACTCTTTGGTCTCCCACCACCCAATCTGCTGAGTTCAAAAAGCCTTGCAGAACAGTTCCAGGTCTGATTCACTTGTTGACACTCCACAGGGCTCCCACCTGCAGAGCTGTTACCTCTCCTATAGGCACTTACAGCATTTCCTACTGTTCATTAGCAATGGCAAGTAACTACATTGGTGTCTCCTTCCCTCATCTGAAGTTTTATTTTTACATAACTATGTAAAAATAAAGCAAGCTTTCTATGCCTAAGCATAGAAACACATGCCTAAGCATTCTATGTCTTCTGTGCCTAAGCACTGAAGATACGAGATCAGGCAAGGGCCAAACACTGTAATAAAACTGACCCATTCAGGACTACGTATTGCCTGGTAGGATGACTTCTGCTACACCATGCACCTTAACTATATCTTTGAAGGCGCGATGTAGTTTTCTTAATTCTAAAGCTTTGGATAACGTAGCACACAGCTCCAAAGGCACACACTACTGTTCCTTGAAAAACCTCCACAAACTCAGATTTCTCCCATTACATTAACTCTTCCAACACATCACCTCAGTTTCTTCCCCATTTCATTGGGAGCATCTCCAGTCAGGAAGGGAGGACATGAGCAAGTTGTTCATACTCTGTGACTACATGCACCCGGTAACACTGACTTCTTAACAGCTCATAGCATATGATAAGGACATCAGTGATGTAAATTCAGGTCACACAGGGTTATTTTCATTGCTGGATTTGTTCAATGCCTTCACCTGACACTTAAAAGCTTTCTTTGCCTTGGTAAAAATTTTCTAACCCTCTCCACTGGCCAAGTGATCTGTATTTAATTTTAACCTGATATGTGGCATGGCTCAAGGCTCTGTCCTAGCCTAATTGTGACTGAAATATATGTAACCCCTCTGAGTTATTTGTAGCAGCTGTCCTAGTTCTTACGAAGATGGAACAGATCTATCAGTTTTAAGAAACAGAAAAAAAGATTGTTCTTTGTTGGTGTTAACAACATTCTCAGCCAGATAAAAGGAACGGGGTGGATGAAGGGAGAAAAGAGTGAAAAGCAGCAGACAGTTAAGGTTACTAAAGACCCAAACCTAAGCATTTTATTCTCACTTCTTGCAATCAGTAATCAAAACAGCAGTGTTTAAAAACATTCTGATATGCTAGTAGCCTTTAGCACCTTATGTAGTCTACCATGTTATCTACAGTTGTCCCAATAGACTGTCTGAAATGGAAGGGTTTGTTTGGGGTTTTTTGTTTAAATTTAAATGTTGCTTCAGAACAAAACCACTCTTTAGTTCTACTACTGCTGTCGTCTTAGAACATAGTTTTTTGGTGCTGTGATAGATATAACACCTTTGTTATGGCTCTTGTTTTTCTTATCAACTAAATCAGTAACACCTCTTCCTTAAACTGAGAAATTTTTTTTTTCAGAGAGTACTTTGTCTTTTTAAGGACTTAATTTCCTTTCTTTCTCTGGGGAAACAAGATTCTTCATTCTCTGCCATAGGACATCTGAGTGGCAACTGGAGGCATCAGCCACACTGAAGGAACAGAACCTATGCAGAACAAGGGGACTACTGGGACAAGCAGCTCTATTTCAAATGTACAACTGACTGAAAAACATCTCTGGATAACCCACTTGGTTTGCTGCCTTGAGGTGGGGGGGGAAGGAAGAACACAACCACAACATACAAAAAACCAAACAACAAGAAACAACACCACAACAAAACCAAAACTGTCTGCCTTCTCATGCTAATCTCAGGTTTGTCATATCACCTGCACTTCTGTTCTTAACTGTCTACATATTCACATCACCTGAGACTGTTTCAACTTTTCCAAAGCAATCCCAAATTTTATGACAAGAATATGAAGATGATTCAGTATTGCTAATGATTCTGTTTAGGGCATTGACTAACAGTAGATACGAGTGCCAAGACACAGAGTATGTTACCTCAAATCAGTATCACAGCTCAGAGCAAGACAAATTTACCATAAGACAACCAGGACCTACCTACATATTCTTATTTTTATTTTACTTCAACATCTGATTGCATTATAACTTGCCGGTATTACCTGCACTGTGTTTTATTGTCATTTTTCAGACGTGAATGCTGTCAAACAGAGCATGCTGTCTTCAGCAATCATTCACCTGAGTATCAGAATTGAGGGCCCTAAGCTCACACTCATTGGCAGTACACAGGCAGTGAATTAACAGACTGCTTGTCTAATAGGACTGCCAAAAATGAAGTTCCTCTACCTCACACTTCCTCTGTGGACACAGCGAGGAGAGGTACTTCTGAGAATAGAAAATGTAATTGCAGGCTGTAAACATTAACACCAAAACTATGAGTTCACTCCAGAGGCATATAACACACACATTTTCTTTCAAAGTCTACTCTTGCATCAGAAAGTTCAGTCAGAGTATGGCCAAGCGTCATGCTGCTATACCAGACATCAGCCCAGGAACACACTTTGAAAATTTTAGACACCATTAAACCCTAATCTTTATTAGGTTGTCCTCTCTACTTCCCCTTCGAGCTGATTATTCAATATTTTTTTACATAGTTTTCATCATTTTTTTTTTGGTCATTTTGACAGATCACCCTTTTAAGCTTCAGAAAATAAAGAGTTCTCATTCCTGAAAACAATTTAACTTCTCCCCCAATACAGATTTTTCATTGGCTTAAATTATAAAAGTCAGATTTAGAAAACTAGGTTTCTGCAACAGGGTTGTAGCATTTCTCAACATAATTTAGATATTACTCATTCACTACACAGGAAATAAACATATTTTACCATAGTGATCTGCACAGGAATGCATTTTTATTTGCTAATTTATTTATTTTTCTTTTTTAAAAATAATTGGCAAGAACCAATAACTGAATACAGCAGAATACATAGGCACAGGAGAAAACTCAGAGTCTTTTGTAAGATGTAGAACAAATGATGGTTAAAGACATTATCCATTTTAAAGAACAATTCTGTATGTTCTCTTCTTCCACTGCAAAAAGCTGGGTCACACTCATCATGAGCCTTAATACTTTTCAGCAGTTGTCAAAGCTACTCCATCTGAGACCTCATTTTCAGCCAGAGGCATTCATCTACTCCTAGACGTTACTTAAATATACATGACTGGAGGGCTTTCTGTGAGACTGTCTAATGCAATTTGTTTTGTAACTGTCACCCCTTTCAACATATACCCTCACAGTTTTTAAACACACATATAAAACCAATGGAAGTGTTATTCCTGAACATGTTCACATTTACACTTAATGCCCTAAAAGTTAAGATTTTTTTATGTTATAGTATTGGCTTAGCTAATGTGCTACTTCTAGAAACCTCTAGATGATTTTTAGCTCTAATGAAGTCCAGATTATTAAGAAGCACCTAACAAAAGCATTTTCTTCTTTTTGTGATTTAGTAACCACGCTATTCCATCACTTCATTTGACAACACATTTTGGAAGGCAATATTTGAACTAAATACACTGTTTTTACAGTGTTCTTGTGAAAACTGACAAAGAAGATGGCTTTTTCCCTAGTAAATTAATTTTCATTTAGCAAGTTACAGTGCTGAAGTCTTTCTACACTTTTCTCTCACCACTCATGAGTTTTCAATACAGATTATTTTTCTTCAAAGCAGTTCTGCAGTCTACGTTGTCTTTCCAATTCATTTGTTCCTAAGCACTTTCAGAACCAGCTTCAGTAAAATTTTCAAGATACTAATCTTCAATCATGCTTCAATTACTCACAAATGTAATAGCTCTGCTGTATGTTCTTCAGACACAGTTATATAAACTAGCTACATCTTTTGCTAAAATGTTTAACCTATTCCAAAGCGTTTAAATCTAAAACCTAATGATTTCTGCAAATGCATATGCTCTTGAATCATAAATTCAAGAGTCAATTGCTCATTTACTTCTGTTATAGTTATATTCTTCTCTCTTCGTAATCAGAAACTCCATCAAAATGCAAGAAATAACCACACCCAATATGCAGGTCCTCTTGTTGTAAGTAACTCCCATTAAAGGTCCCATAGAACATTTATAGAGGTGTGGGAAGCTCCAAGCTGTCAAAGTTTCTTTTTTAGGTCACTCACCTTAGGTAACTCCCATTCTGATCGGGAACCATCAGCACTGTAGTAGTATGGTCTGCCTTGTTCATCTGCATGTTTTATCCACTGTAGAAAGAAATGCGATGATAGGAAGTGGAATCAGAGTGACAGTCATAACACAGTAAATCTCTGATACCTGGGATATAAAGTTAATTTTTAATAAAGTGCCATCCATGTCAGCAGCATCTAGTGCACAACTTCCATTAACTAACTAAGGTTAGTTAGCAATGAAAGCAACACAGTTCTCAGCTTCCTGAATTACACTATCATTTTATTCTTCTGTAACTCCTCAGAAAATGCTCCTGCAATACCACAAAAGAGATTGTGACAAACAGGTATTTTTGAAGATGGTATGTCTCACTCATTGACATTATAGTGTCAGTTTAAGAAGGCACAGTCTTTCCCTCAGATCTGTGTAAGGATAAATATAGAACTACAAGAAGCTCAACCAGCAACTGCAGATAATTTAAGAGATCATTGCACTTGTTGAACAACTCCATTTTTAAAAGATCAACAGGAACATGAGATGCAGTTCCCAATTAAATCATGAAGATAATTTAACTTACGTAACCTCTATAAGGAACTCCTGCAGTCAAAGGGGTAAAACCATTACAACTGTGACTAGTTATGAAGAAAGGAAAGAATTTTCAAGAGCAAAAGTCTAAAAGAAGATCACACAAAATTATGCAAATAAACACATGCAGCAAGGCTCTGGAGTCAAGGAGGTTTCAGAAGACTGCCTTCTAATAAACTGCTTCTGATAGGAAACACCATTTTCTAATAATCCCAGTGCGATTTTTTTTAAAAGTTTGTCAAATCATAAGCATGTGCTCTACAATTGAAGAAGAGGTGATACTGTAATGGAATACACAAACTGCTGTTTCAATGAACACTTTCTGAAGTTAAAAACCAACCTGCAACTTTAGTGAACAGTTAGAAAAAACAGACTGCTTTACAAATACAAATATTATCATTTATCCTATGTGGGAGAAATTTTTATGATGGGCCCAGAATCACAGCAAGCTGACAGGAACAGTTAGATAATTAGAACAGAACATAAATATGGCCGTAGATTAACTAAGAAGTTTGTCTACATCTGAACATAGTACTGGAAATCTCCAGTAAAGGATGAAATTAATAAAGCAGCATTATTTTCACTTCAAAACCATCCTAACTGGAAGGTCTGTGTAGACAAGACAGCTCTTAAAAGACAGTAAGAAAACATTTTATTGAAATGAAGTTAATTCCTGAAGTATAACCAAGAGAATGGGGCAAAGGCTGGAATTAAAAAAAAAAAAAAAAAAATTATACATGATACTTTCATTTAATATCATCTGATACCCAACTGGAAATAGGACATTTTTTCTAAATAATAAAGAACATATAAGAAAAAAAAAAAAGTCAGTTTATTTGCTAAAGTTTCATGCATATTTAAAGAACAAAAGAAGATGCTGCTCAGGTATGCTTTTCACTTATAGAAACAAAATCTGCATTTCTGACAGTGAATTAGTGGAGAAGATTTAGAACACATGATGAGAAGAAGGAAAAAGTACCTTTTCGTTAGTATAGTCATTGGTATATAAGGTTTGACCATGTTCATCCAACTCTTCTGACCAACCCTTTGGAGGAGAACCATACTGACTATCTGACTGGCTGTAACAAGAACTGTGGTCGTTCTCTTCTGATGAAAGGTGCTACAAGTAGTCAGAAACATACAAGGCAGTTTTGAGAATAAAAGCGCTTTAAAATCTGAAAGATCAAAGATTATTTGACTAGAAAGAGAACAGTAATAAATTCAGGGAGTTCACATGTGTGTATCTTATGTCAGAGATTAAGCGAGGCATTTTTACAGTACAGAAATATTTGATAATGGCAAAGTATTTTCAGAACTGGTTTATTCTGATACAATGGGGAGGTTTAATTTACTGTACCAGATTTCAGCTACTCAAATTTAAACTCTGATTTTTTTTTTTTTGCCAATCTGTATTTTATTCCCACAAATCTATATGACTGAATGATGAGAGTGCTAGATTTAGTAATCTTCTTTGCCTCAAAAAAAACTGGGAGACCTGATATCTTGGTTTTCTGGGAACATCTCAGCTTTCACACATAAATTCTTTTCTTCCTTCCCCAAATAGTATCTGGAAACACAATAATCATTAAAGATGACTCGAAACTCCAGCTGCACCTTTGTAGGTCCCAGCACTTTACAGTACTTGTGCAAAGCAATGCAAAGTAATAGATATTTCACCTCCTTCCAACTCTGATGCATGTGATAATGAGCACAGGCACAGCTAGCTGAGGTGTAAGATTATTTTCTGCGAGCAGAAATGAATTGTAATGTGAGGAACAAGTTTGACATGTCAAGTTGAAAAAAAAAAAAAGTTTTGCACACACATGTCAGAATTTGTGCCCTCACATACTTTGTTCAACTTCCTTGCTAACATACTGTAGTATTATTCAAAGCATCCATTCCATGCAACAAAACCAAGAAGATATCCCTGCATTTATCTCCCACAAGAATATCTGTGCCACAGTTTCCTGAGGATTCAGTACAGATTTCAGTTCATGCTACCTTGGATCCTTGGCTAGTAGGAGGCACAACACCTAGGAGGGAATACAACCTGCTACTCAGAAATTATGATATTGACTACAGTTTGAGAACAAATTTTCCTCAAAACTCTAGTAAAACAAGAGAAAGGCAAGATTTCAAACTAGAAAAATACTTCTCCTGAAAAACTTAAATCTTAACCCAAAAAATATCCAGGTATCAGAAACTCACCAGTTTCAAAAAGTCAGTGGTTTCAGAGACTATGTTTAGTGGCCTTTCCAAATGATTATTACATCGGGTCTTGGTGTTACCTTTGTGAGTACCTTACCACTTGTGTGACACAGACTCCCTATGCTGACACGAGCCAGCTTATCAAGCACATCAAAACTTATAGGCAATTTTCAGATTTTTAATAAATTAATGTGAAAAAAATGTAAGCATCCTCTACAGCCTACAGAACACACTTAAACTACGGATGAAACAAGGATACTACCTCTCTTGCATGTGAGGTAACATGAAATTCTCAAGTGCCAATTTCTAAGCACTGGTGGAAAAAAATAAAGTCTTCAGTCCCATTTTTACACTTGAAAAATTAAGACTGACTAGTTGATAAGAGCGCTGAAATAAATATGGGCAAAAAAGCCCCTTTTAAAAAAAATAATAAATCAAGCTTTCTTAACATGGAACCAATGTGGTGAAGTTTTGGTACAGAAGTATGAGTAAGACTCACAGGTATTATTTGCAGATGAAGAAAGAATTATTGAAAGTCCTTGTGTGAAAAGAAGGAAGATTGATGACAACAGAGCATGAGTTACACTTACTACAAGATGATTTACTACTCAAGAAAGTGTTCACCTTATCCAGACTAGAACCAGAATCTTATCCAGCAAAAGAACAGCCAGTGAGAAACAAAAGTGACAGCCACAAACATTTCACCACTTCACCTGTTGCTACCACTAGCCTGTGACAAGAAAATTTCATAGAATCACAGAATTTTTCAGGTTAGAAAGGACCTTCAAGATCACCAAGTTCAACCTAACCCAGCACTGCCAGGTGCACCACTAAACCATCCTAAGCACCACATCTACATGTCTTTTAAATACCTCTAGGAGTGTTGACTCAGCCATTTCCCTGGGCAGCCTATTCCAGTGCTTGACAAACCTCTCCATGAAGAATTTTTTCCTGACAACCTAAAACTCCCCGAGTGCAACCTGAAGCCATTTCCTCTTGTCCTGTCACTTGTTACCTGAGAGAACAGACAGACCCCTACCTTGCTACAACCTCCTATCAGGTAGTTGCACAGTGATAAGGTCTCCACTGAGCCTCCTTTTCTCCAGGCTAAACAACCCCAGTTCCCTCAGCTAGTCCCTAGAAGACTTGGTCTCTAGATCCTTCACCAGATTCCTTGCCCTTCTTTGGACACACTCCAGCACCTCAGCGTCCTTCTTGTAGCGAGGAGCCCAAACTTGAACACAGTATTCTGAGGTGCAGCCTCAGCACTGCAGAGAGAGGACAGTTGCCAGCCTAGTCCTGCTAGCCACACTATTTCTGATAAAAGCCAGGATGCTGTTGGCCTTCTTGTCCACCTGGGCACACTGCTGGTTGTTGACCAGCACCTACAGGTTCTTTTTCACCAGGCAGCTTTTTGGCTGCTCTTCCCCAAGCTTGTAGCGTTGCATGGGGTTGTTGTGACCCACGTTGCAGGACCTGGCACTTGGCCTTGTTGAACTTCACGCTGCTGGCCTTGGCCCACTGATCCAACCTGTCCAGATCCCTCTGTAAAGCTTTCCTACCTGCGAGCAGACCAACGCTCCTGACTAACTTGGTGTCACCTGCAGACATACTTGGTAACACCGGCAAACATACTGAGGGTGCCTTTGATCCCCTCATCCAGATGATTGAAACAAAGCTTTTATTTAAGATCTTAAAGAGAACAGGCCCAAATACTGAACCCTGGGGAACACCACCTATGACCACCTGCCAACTGGATTTAACTCCATTCACCACCACTTTTCAGGCCCAGTCATTCAGCCAGTTTTTTTACCCAGTGAAGAGTTTCTCCAGAACACTGTGGAAAACAGGGTCAAAGGCTTTACTAAAGTTTAGGAAGACAATATCCACAGCCTTTCCCTCTTTAGGTGTTTAAATGCTTGTGGATATAATGGCTGCTATGAAGACCACACCAAAGGCCATGGAAGGGTCCCTTTTTCCCTTCTCTCCCGTTTCTGACACTACCATCCCAGAGGCAGACTTTTATGACAGGGCTTTCAGAAATCTGAATGTTTTGAGCAGTCCATGATTATATTTAAAAACTAAGCATTGTAAAAAGCTCAGAAGGAAGCTCACCCAAACTATACATATTTGAAAAGGGTATATAAAGTGAAATATGTAGATTTCTTGATTCTTGATTGCTTTTTTTTAAATCAGCAAACTAATTAACCTCAGTTTGAACACAAGAGCACTATTGTAAGCATATTTAAATAGTAATATCCATCTCCCAACTATTCCTTTGCTGCAGTTCAGATAAACACACACCACTCCCTAGCTCTCCCTAGCAACTGGCTGCACAGAATATATCTCCACCTCAAATATTAGCCAGATCATCTATTAACAAACAACTTCATGGTAAGCTTCAACTCTCTAAAGCAATGTCTACAGCAAATCTTTGCCAAAAGTTTTGCATAATGAAAAAAAAAAAAATACGTATATATAAAGAATATATTTATAGCCTGAATGTAATCTAGCCAAAAGCTCCTACAGCTAAATGCCAAAAGAGGAGAGGAAACCCACTGCAGAATCATCATTTGCTACCCTTGGACAAAGACACGTGGCTAGGCAGAGCTTCTAGCATGGTAATTTTAATGTTCTCATCTTCTGTTCTCTAGCATATAATTCACATCATGAAGAAAAGGATTTTCTCAAAGTTAACAACATTTGATAACAAAATATTGCTCCTTTAACTGCCCTTCCTCCTAGCTTGTTCTACAGTTATTCAAGGCAGAAATCACTGACAAGTGCATAAATTTATAAGTCCTAAGCAAATCACTAAACACTGCAACAAGTCATCCAGCTAAATTTGTTTTTTATATCCACTACCATCTTTTATATCCACTTGCCTTTTTATATCCACTATCATTATTCCACCTCTTTAAGAATTCGTGAATTAAATAAAATTTTAGTTTGAACAGTCACATGTGCCCCTTTAAAAAAAAAGGTAAATAAATTAAAAGCATCATAGAATATACAGAATTTTTATACAGTATGTATAAATTTAAGTACAAAAATAAAAATCAGTGTCTTTAATTTTATAGAAGCTTCAATTATGTCAGTTATTTTTGAAGCTGGTAGAAAGTGCTGTGGAACTCCATTATGTCTGGTTTTGACTAAAAAATCTGGAGTTATCTAACTCCATCCTAATTCCTCTCTACAAAATTATTTCTCTCTAGAAGAAAAACACCTCATATTTAAAATTACTGCTGCAGCATTAACCAAGCAGCAGCAAACACCTGTATATCTGCCACCTTTGTTTTACTGCGTGTTTAATTGATACTGAGAAAAATAATTGATTCCCCTTGTCTTTTTCAACATATCCCCAATGAATCATGCTTCTAGAACCACTGTCACACTCCTCCTTTTTTCCCAAAACCCCTCAAAAATGTGCCAAATACACTGGGAAAGAGAATGTGCTACACATCACAGACGTTAAAACAGCTGTCTTATTCTATTGTCATTTATAGCCCTATTAGTTTAAAAATATCTTAGTTTACCTTTAAAAGAAAAGCTGCAATACCTGCTGAGGGACTGCAAGGCATTCTTACAACTTACTACTCTTGTACATAGTTCACATCCACATTCTTGTGCACAAAAGCTATTGAAGAACTGTTTACTCTTTCACACAGAGACATAAGATCAAAAAGACAAAGGAAGACACTCCCTGACACCTCAAAACTCCATAGCAAAACAGCGCTCACATGCATTACAATCTCATTGCTTGGGACCGCAGAAGGAACTACCTCATGGTCTGCATGGCTCTGGGGATCCCCTTTATTAATGCTTGCATCTCGGGCCCACCGTGGAGGTTTCCAGGTTCGCTCCTGTGATCCTCTGTTGTAGTAATAACAGCGTCCTGTTGTATCTTTATGGGTTTCCCATTCCCCATTTATTTGGACCGGCGCACTTGTAGGTAGTGGTGGAAGTGCAGACTGAGATATTTTCAGTTCTTGTAAATTAGCATAAACTGGTGAATCAGGCCTCCCTTGGCTTGGTGGAGTAGTTGGCTATTGAGAGAAGAAATGTATTGTTAAAGAGCAAATGAATTTTAGAATGCTCCCTTACAGTTCAGAATATATTGCAGTAGAAAAACAAACCAACAAACTCCCCTTTTTTGTTAAGTACAAAAGCACAAAGGACAGCCACAAGATGCTGGGGGATTAAAACATTTGTTAACTGTAAGGTAGATACCACAAGCATTTTTTTTAATACTGAAGCAATTTTTCAGCATTTCTCCAGATGACAGCTGATAATTATGTCTTACAGTGGATTTGAAATACACTGGAATCATAATCAGAATAATTATATGCTTGCCTTGCTGAAAAACTTCAGCTTTACAGTTCAAGTATTGCTCAGGAACTGTAAGTAATGTGATCTTGTTCAAGACAAAACATAGCATTTCTGAGATGCCACTTGTTAGGCAAAGATGGTTCCCCAACCTTTCCCCCTCGCTGCTAATAGAGACAATAGTGAAAGCAAAGCAGCATTTTCATCTTCTTTGCAAGATCCAAACAGACATTTCAGTTGGATGTTGTGACTAAGAAAGTCTGGAAAACACCTGGATGGTCTACCTGTACGCCTTTCCCAGATGCTCATTTTACGGTATTTTAGGTAATATCACTGAGTGTTGTGATACCATCTTTAAGGAGAGGATGCTAAAGTGGATATTCTTACCCAGCTAGTTTTATTCATTTGCATACACACAAGCAGAACAAATATCTATATGAAAAAAAAACACTGATGACAATTCCTCTTTAATAAATAGTTTGCTAACATGAAGCACATCAGGAAGCATGGTTAAAACTCTATGGCACTCACTGGAACCATGAGCACTTTCAAATAAGCCACTGAAATGTGTAGTATGGAAATGTGCTTCCAGTTTTCAATTTTTAAAGTATCAAGCAAGTACATACAACACACCATGCAGAATATAAAAGCATCTGTTTTCACGAGAGCTGTGATTGTGAGACTGTGAAAGCAGCTTGTTATTAAACCAGATTGAATAGTTTCCTGGTAATGCAATGACATCTCTGTATTTTAGGACACATTATTTAGGCACTCCAAAGGAATTAACTATATAATTTATACCACCCCTTCTCCCACTTCTTAATTCAGAAGCTTTGCTGCAGGCAAGTCCTTGTGCCTTGCTGCATCTTTCACAGGAAAAAATAACACATTGTATTACATGAAAGATCTTTTATAATGTACTTTTAAACATTAAAATCATAAACTGCTAATCTAGGCCACATCTAATTATAAATTATTGGGGTTTGCTCAGGCAAGACTGCATAGCATACCACACAATCAGATATAAATTGATTGCACCATAGCTAGAACCAAATATGGACAATATCCACAACCAAAAAGGGAAACAGCTAGAGAGGAACTTAATGAGATTAAAACAGGCATGGACTTGTTTTGTGCACATTTTAAAGGGGAAACAAAGCTTACTAGACAGAGCAAGTACAGTATGTTTAAGGCAAACCACATGTGAGGGGGGAAAAAAAAAATTGCAGCACTGGCAAAATCAGAGTCAAAACCAGTTAGTATCGTCCTCTACCTAATCCAAAGGGAAAATGAGGAGAGAAAAAAAAAAAAAACAAACCACACCAACCACCAACCACTCTGCTACAAAACTTGATGAACAGTAAAAGACTATTCTACTATGTAAGTCCCATCCCCCCATCATCTCCACCCCAACCTCTACCCCAATTTTTTGGGGGTTTGGGGTGGTGGTTGGTTTATGGGTTTTTTTGAGGAGAGCAGAAAGTCTACCTTTGGTAGAGTTGCCCTGGAGAGCACTAACAGCATCCCTACCATGAATGAAGCATCACCCACTGCCCATTCCACGGGTCGATTCCCCAGGCTGCTGGGAGAGGAGCCTTCCAGATTCTGCCTCAGTTTTGCCACTGGCCTGCAGAGCTGCACTTCCCATATAAACCTTCCTGCCACTGAACCACCAGGCTTGTCACCCGAGGCAGCAACATTCCCCTGCAGGGAGGGGTGCACGAACCTCCAGGTTCTTCCCCGACGCCAAGGAAGCGGCAGCAGTGGCACCGCACCAAGCGCCCCGGCTGTTGTGGCGGGAGGCTCGTGGCTTGCACAACACTCCTAAAATTGTTCTTCACACCAGATAGTGGGGAGGCTTTGCCAGTGAGGCCTGCCTTCACCAGTTCCTTTGTGGTTGTATTTAAGACAATGAAGTGTCATTATTAAAAGAACTGTTCCGTGTATTAATAGGAGCATCTTGCAAGCAGAAAGCCTGTAACACAGAATGCTTGATAAGAGTTTTTTGAACATTTTCTCAAGCAACACATAGAAATATCACTCGGGGGTTTCACACTAAGGCTTCAACATTATGAGCAGAACAACTCCAGGTAGACTGTAGGACACGTATGTGCTGAGCCACTGCTGGGAGCTCACAGCTGACATACTGCCACACAACTCAGGCAACGTGTTAGGCAAATTTAAAACATGATATTAAAGCGTAACAAGGGGTTTTCTTCTGAATGCTTAGCAGTTATAGACCAAATATACTGATTTCTGGTTTTCAAGGGAAAGCCAGAACTTTTGCCCTGAACAACAAACAAGACAGCTAACTGTCCTGCCAACCAAGCCTCCAGTTACTTTCATTTCCTGTTGATCTCTCTTCTGATAGATTTTCTGAGGAAAATGGCAAATTTTTTGAAAGGCACCTCTAAGTTATTGCTTTCAGTTAAGCATTGAAAAAAATTGCAATACCATCAATCTATCTACAACACACAGCTTAGCTCATAAGTACATCTTTGAGGGATACAACTTTCTTATCAGGAGCTATTTTAAATAACCACGTTAGCACACAATGATACTTCCTCATACCTCGAGCCACGCAATGATATGTTGTTGTGTCTACAATAGCCTTCAGTTCAACAGCACCCAACCTTATCAAGGTTAATTTGTGAAGAATTTATCATTTATTGATGAGAAAAGCAGCCTTTACAAAGCTCAAAGTTTCCTGAAATTAACATTAGTGTACTTTCTATATCAGTGTTAGCAGGAATACCTCTCCCCCTCCTAATTTGGGAAGGAAATTCCTGCATGGAGCCAGGTCCCACCAAAATGTTCCTGTAGAGCTCCCAGCCCTGCACCACCTCAGTGTTTCATTTCTGATTACTGTTTTAAATTCCAGACACTATTCTGAAAAAAAATCTTTAATAGTTTCAAGCCAAAAAAAATACATTAACCTAACTTTATTCCTTTCATTTATCAAAACCATTACTCATTACCAGTGTACAAATCAAATAGATAAAGTATTACCTAGATTAGAATAGTTTTTGACCACTTCCATGGCTGTTTTCCTAAAGCTGGACAACACACAGTTAAGGGAAACTTAAATATATGCTAAACACTAAAGAGCTCTGTATGTACATGAAGTCCTCCAGCTAGAACTTCACTCTGAGCTTCATTTTTGCACTAACAAGCTCCAATGCTCATAAACATGGAATTAAATCTACCAAACGAGACTCCTTGTCTTCTCACTATCAGAATCACAAGATCACGTCCTTCAACTTGCCCGTGCACGCACACACAAAATGCCTTATAGTCAAAATATTTCAACATTCATTTGCTGCTTGATATAGATTTCTTACTTCTTCATGTTGCTTTTTCCTGCTAAGAACAGGGAAGGACTCTTGCTAGAAAAACTATAAAGAAAAATAAAAAAAACAAATATTTCTGTGATGCTACAATTTGAATGAAAATTGTACAGCCCACTAAGCACTAGGCCAACTTTATGAAAATAAGGACCTTTCCCTGAGCTCACTAATGCTTTGTATTTTAATACTTTAGAAACCCGGCATATCTAACTTGAGTTTCTCAGAAAAGTCTGCTAGCACTAAATCCTTGCAAATAGATAAGGAAGAGTTCCATGCAGGCAGGACAAAGTTTCCAGGATCACCACACAACATTCTTCAAACAGGGCCTGTACACACGGCTTTTTCAGAACACAGTTTGTATACTGACACAGTAGGAAGCAGATACGTGCTTTTAAATAAAACAAGCCGTTAATCATTCATGAATGCACATTCAACGTGTTCAACAAAGAGCCGAGATACGCTATCAGGCCTCTGAACGCTTGAACTCGGTGCAATGAAAAGCAAACTTACTATACTTCACAAGGTACTTTCATTACCAAAATGCGTCTCAGCTTCTCAGAGTATACCTTAAATTGTAATGTTACCTTATCCAAATGGCTCTTTTCAGACGGCAGTATTTGTTTAAGCATTCACAACAAAGCAAATTTAAAAACACACACCCCCCCAAACCGGAAGGTTCAGCACACTCCAGCAAGGTAACACTGCAGTTCTAGGAGAAACAATGACTACAGATCTCTTCCCTATCTATCACCTAAAAATGCTTTTGGTTTATTTTCATGCAATGAGATCACCGGGCACCAAGGAAGCCAGCAATTAGAAGACAGAAGACAGTTTCCTTGGAGCTGGCAATAACCTTTTTCCTTTTACAGAGTTTAAACCCCAGACAAAAACTTCTAGACCATAACAACTACTTAAAGAACGACTGCAATCCTAGCCTGCAAAACGTGACCTACCACACACGATTTTTCCTCCTGTACAAAAAAAATCCTTTAGTTCTCATGCTTCTGTTTGCAGCTTCTCTTAGTATTATGAACTTGAAATTAAAAGCTTCCATTTCAGTAGCAGCATTCAGACTGCTGAAACTAGATGCTAAAAATGGACGATTTTTTTTTTTTAAAAAGGCAAATTTCATCTTGATACTCTTTATGAAGTTACAAGGAACAGGCCGTCTATGCTCATGCAAAATAACAGCATTACACCGAGGGAAAATGAGGCAATACTGGCTCTTTGCAGCAGCAGGCCAGAGAAAGGGGAACAGGCACATCCCACAGAGTCCCCAAACAGGGAATGAAGCATTCCAGTTCCCCCAACAACCAAGCTTCTTGCCAAGGAATGGCCACTGTCCTTTTAGGAAGGCCTGGGACTTCAATACC